GTTTTCTTATAAGAGCTATTCTGCCCTTTGTTTTTTCACTGAAGTAACTGAAATGCGTCTTTTCGTTAGATATTTATTAAAATGTCAAATATTTCTGTTTCTCGCTTTATGAATTATTGTTACACTCAAAGCTATATTTGTATAAATGTGGCACAATTAAAGGCTATTTTCTATTTTCGAGGACGAGAAAATTTCGGATTTTGATGTAAGTTAAGTCAATCGAAGGGCTTAATCCATAAGAATTTGCACAATCCACTTTATTTTCGTAAGTCAGCTTTTATAAATTCTAAAATTTTATTCATTCGGATCTTCAATGTATTTGGGTAAGGGCAGGCCGCCTTATTAGGCACAACGAGCCTTACAAACACGTGACGATAGTTTTGTTCCACAGTAACTCCACAAGTAAGTTATTTAGATTTCAATTTCTTCGCTATATAATCACGAGTTGCTCGTGATGGACATGGCTTTGAGTATTGAATTTTCCATCAAGGAAGCTACAATTTTGATATAAAATCCTTTTAAATGTACTTGTGCATTTACCTCTTCACGATTAGCCATTAACTTGTACTTTATGCGAATTGTCAATAATTTGTTGAATTTGAAGAAAAAAAATTCAAGAACTTGAAGATATGTCTCTGGTGACACCTGTCATTGAAAATACTTTCAAGTGTTCCCACTACTCGCTACCGGTGACGCACCGGATTGATTGGATCCTTTGGCATGGGATTATTGTCATTTGTGTTGCCTAATTTTGGTTAGAGTCCCGTGGGTACTTACATATAACTCTACTATCGTTTTAAAAACCTGGACTAAGTTTTTTATGTTTAATTTCCTTAAAATTTCGTTACGTGAACTCTCCACACAACTGTCTTTGTCTTCTTCTGCTATTCAGCAAATCAATTCGATGTGATGCCAGTTCATAAAAAAGGGCAGATAAAATTACGAACTCTACATGCACTCTAGTTGTTGTTCTCTGCATTGATTTTAATTATGCCTATCATTTTATGTTATTATCAAATGCGGTTGTTTCGTATATTACAGCCCTACTATATCTTAACACACGATATTCTCATATAGTTTGTTTCCAAATTCTTGTGAGAGTTTGTGAGGACCTAGAATACGTTTTTACATATGGAAAAAAAGTTACTTTGTTCATCTCTTTTCTTCGAAGTTAATTAACTACTAATGAACTATTTTGATATTCTTTGTTTTTAATATTAATTTCTAATTATAATTTTTGCGATTTTTTCTCTTTCTATTCTACAAACTATTTATTGCTTCTTCAATCCAACTACGTAAAGCCACAACGTCACTATAAACCCCTGGATAGCCTTCAGCTGCACATCCTGCAGACCACGATACAATACCCACTACCTGGCCGTCTGCAACCAACGGACCACCAGAATCGCCTTGACATGACGATTTCCCTTTAGCAGTAGCACAAACCATTGTTTCTTTAATCTCCATTCCGTACCCATAGCTAGTGGACGCACAATCTTTAGTATCGACAAACTCTACTTCTATACTCATCAAATTCGGGGACAAGGCACAAACCAAAAAGCAATTTGAGCCCCAACCGGATACAATAGCTGGATGCCCAGTTACAGGTTTCTTGTCCGCTAACTTAATATAACGTATCGTGCTCGATTGTTTCACAGGTTGAGCCAGTTTTATTATAGCTACATCATTAACCCGAGTCTCTTCGAAGTTGAATTTCTCATGGGATTTAAACGATTCAACATCTACCAAAACACCGCCACTAGCGTACATTGTCGATCCCAAACGTACCTTAACGTCTTCGGGTTTTCGGCCTTCCAAGCAATGGGCGGCCGTAAGAACGATGTCCTCGCTGAGAATGCTACCGCCGCAGAAATGATCATTTTTTACGTTTTGTAGTGAAACTTGGTAGGGATAGTCCTCGATTGCAGCTGGCTCGCCATTTACGATACGACTCTGCCACTCCCAATTTGAAGCCTCACCCAAGACTGATCTTAAGGCAAGAACCACTAACACCAACTGAAACATGGTAAAGAATTTATGAAACTGTTCGATTTTTATGAAAAGGCTTTCATTTTATAAGTAAATTACCCTAAAGGCGAACTACTCAACAGAAAGATAATAGTTATAAATAATTTTTAATGCCAGAGCCATAAAATAATTTTTTTTTTTGCGATTTGTATCTGCGAACGAAAGCAGAATACTCTTGAAATGCCTTATTTCAGCTTTCACCTACAATAATTTCTTCAACTTTGGTCGTAAAATATATACTGTCTCCTTTTTAACTTAACGCTATTGAAGCAGTTTAATTACTTGTACTTATCACAAACGATATTAGGTTTGTACAGTTGTAATGACCAAAGTGTAAGTATACTTATCAAGGCTTTTCCTCACTGCCTTCTAGTTAAGTAGGTTGGTATAGAAAAGAGATCAAATCACGCAAAGGATACTGTGCGGTCAGTCATACATTCTTTTCAAAAAGAAAACAGTTATTCATAAATTAAAAAAAATTGCATGATTAAATTATTCTATCCTACCTGCACACGCTAATCCATTTTATGAATTATCGAAATTTTCGCTACATATTTATAAGATTCCGACGATAGGTACAAAAGATTACGTCGCCGGGGAATATATAATATATATATTCCCGGATATAATTCATGTAAACCGGAACCCAAAAATATTGTGTTGTTGTTGCGAGCCGTCATTAGTATTGCTGGAATCTCTTACCCTTTGTAAAATGTGGACGAAGAATAATTATCTGATAAAACCGGTTCATCTACGCAGTTACGACCTTATTCAACTGTCATGAAATTTTTATTTCACCTCTATTCAGCATCTACATTTTCAGACGTCTTAAAATTTAAATTCAATCATCCGAAAAATATTTTTTTCTTTCTAATCCCCTAGAAACCATGGATCCAATTTTAGATATATCATTAAGTAAGTACCTATCTGAAGACAGAATTGGCAGAACTAAGACGAAAACTTGTAATAACGTGCCTGTTTTGCTCTCTGCTGCAAAGAATTCGCAACTTCTTTTCTTATCTCTCTCTTACCTTTCGTAACGTTGCATTTCTGATTCAAAATTCTCATGTCTCACAGGCTCAGGAGCCTTTCAAATCCTACAAAATCTTTCCAATATTATCCCAAAATCATTCCAAACCTATGTCGAAGCGATGCCGCAGTCAATTCAATAAAATCCTTTACTTCAAAAATCATTTTAATATTCTCTTAAAATTACCGTAAAAACAATTTAATATCATACCAAAATCACTCCAAAGTCTTTTTAATATCATAAAAAAATCAAGTCGTTTCCACATTATTCCTCCATGATTTTATTTTCATGATCAGTTTTAATGAAAATTGTTTCGAAGCGCAAATTAATGAAAGCATATTAGATTGGATATGTTCTAATATGATCCTATAGGAGTGTCCTATAAGTGTTTTTCACGCCACGGTATATATCACCTCGGCCCAGCAATATTTGTAAACATTAAAGCTTATCTATGTTCATTTATGGTATCGATTTCAGTCATCTCGCAGCTCTTTCAAAGTGCCTTTCGTTAGTGGTAAACACTCCTTAAAACTCCTTCCCTACGCCATTCAATATGAATCGCCAAAAGAAGGATTTGCGTCATGTTATGCTTGATTGCTTTAAAAACGGTACTAGTGCAAAGGACACTGCGAACGACATTTAAGATGTTTAACAAATTTGGAGCTGACAACATGGGTTTGAAAAATGAAGCCCAGGAACGACGGATATGAAGCTCATCAAGAGAATGCTCCATGCAAGAGACCGGTATATAATCATTTAATCAATATGAGATATGTTGTCTATTGACTTCGCATCGAGAAAAGGAAGAAACTTTTGCGACACCCTAATGCATTCTTAATCCGAATGTCTTCTTAATTCGTTCCATAAGGAAATTTTAAAGATATGTTTTTCAAATTTATTTATTAAAGTAAATAGCTTTGCCATATCGTAAAAACAAATGTTTGAGGCTTTTTTAAATGTCAAAAATGGATCACGAAAAGCTTTCCATGGCTTTCCTGATAAACGTTCTTTGCAGTGTTTTAATTATAAAAACCTTCTATTCTAGATTGTAGAATTTCTAAAATGTATCGTAAAATTTATCGTTACGATTGAAAGTGAAGATTAAAATTTTTGATAGTATGAGTGAGTAGTCTATCATAAATATGAACGAAATATATTATTATGAAACTTATACTAATTAATAGAACAGTTGCATTTTTTCGGTCCACTTTTGCAACATTTCTCAACTTAGTTTACAATTTTTGAGAGTTATCTAGTACCCAATCGCGCAGAGCGGCTACATCCGCATAGACACCTGGATATCCATCCAACGCACAACCTTGTCCCCATGATACAACACCGACCAGTTTACCTTCGGCGACGAAAGGACCACCGGAGTCACCTTGACAAGAGTCCTTTTCTTTAGCATAACCACATACCATTGTTTCTTTGATCTTTTCACCGTACAGATAAGTTGGAGAAGCGCAGTCTTTACGTTCCAGAAAAGTGACTTCTACTTCCATCAGAACGGGAGAAAGATCGCAAGCCATGAAACATTTGGTACCCCAACCAGATACAACCGCAGATGTGCCCGTCTTTGGAACTTTTTTTGTCAATTCAATGTAACGCACAGTCGATGATTCCTTAATGGATTTATCCAATTTAGCAATGGCTATATCGTATATCACAAGTTTGGGATCAAACTTTTCGTGGTACTTCAAAGCTTTAACACCCACTAATAGTCCGCCCTCATTATAATATGTAGAGCCCAAACGTACTTGCAATTCAGAAGGCTTGACACCTTGTAAACAATGAGCGGCTGTTACCACAATATTCTCACTAATTATGCTTCCACCGCAGAAACGTCTTCCGTTTCCAACTTGCTGCAATGATACCTGGTAGGGACGACTTTCTATTGTAGTTTCTTTACCGTTAACAATACGACCTGCTGTATGTTCATCGGTCAACGGACCCGCGAAGACCGCTCTCAAAGAAATAAGCGCAAGCAAATAGCGAAACATTGTGCGAAATTAGTTTGTGAATGCTTTGTCCCTGGTGTGTTGGTTGGTATTTATACTAATTTCAATTTTATATCTGACACATTATCTTAGACTGATTGTTTTCGTAAGCCGATAAACGGTCAAAATTTTTAATCTTTGCGTTTACAGTTATAAACGATAATATATTAATTCAAGTTCAGTTGCATATTTCATAACTTAACAGCGATGAAGCTCAGCGACTGCATTTATTTACTTGTGCAATACTTTTCAAAAATATGAAAGGCTGGTTCACTTTTTCCTAAATATTTATGAAAGGGTTCTTATCAATTCTGCGTTACGAAAACGCAACAATTATTTAATCAAAACATATTAATTATTATAATTATAAACCTTGAAAGCAATTACCCTAAAGAGAAACGTCAGCGTCTTAGTTAATCGACCGCTATGACTTGAGTATTGGCGTTTTCATTTTTGCTAGAAACGATTTGCCTTAGATTTATACTTTCTTATGAGCAGCTAGTTAGATTTTCGTCTATTGTGATCGCGGCTGTAGGCAAATCAGAATCGATGGGCGATTTGTGAGCATTTCATCTCATTATATTTTTTATTTGTGAGGCAACAGAGAGATACTGGGCCGTAGGTACTATTCAAAATCCTCCAAGAGTTCTATGCTGATCGAGGATGTACATATTTTCTGGGGTGTAGGAGAAATCATTCATTCATTCTTCGTCATGGGAATTTACTGTTTTATTATGAACAGTAATAACTAATATCGTTAGATAATATTTTTAATTTTTTTAAGTTTTGAAAATATCTGATTAAATATGCGATAATAATTTTAATCTAAAAGGTAAATACATGAACTGAATTGAACTCACGCGTTAAGGACTTGATAAATATAAGTCATAAACTATCGTCGTATTAACTGTTTCCGTTTTCCTTCTACTTTCCGTACAAATTATTTTAGAAGGTAAATTCGTTCTTTTTTACCTAGGGTTAATTCCCAATTTTGAAAATACAGTGCTATATAAGAGAAATTCCAGCGCCAGCGTTGAATTGAGCTTCTTCTTAACTATGAAAACTTAAGGAAGCAACAAAGTTACTGCAAGGAGCAGTGTCCTGCTAATAACGATTGTAGCGGTGTCTTCAGCCGTTCCTTTCCTAGATCCATACCGTCTGGCAAATGTTTGCTGCTTAGTTTTTGATCTCAAGCTATCTTTCTTTTGCCACTAACATATGTCACACGACGTTTTTCGGGGCAGGCATTTTTCCATGCACTTATGTGCATTTTACTCCTCTCTTGTTCAAACTGAAAGCAGTGTAAAAAAGCATTCTCTGCGTTTTTTCCTAGTCGAAAACATAAGCAGCGCGGATCAATTTCGTATCCGAACGGTGGTCAATTTCGTATCCGAAACGCGGATCAATTTCGTATCCGAAACGGTTGGCCTTAAAACAACTATGTACCGTGAGAAGCTGCCTGATCGCGGTTCAATTCCGTTTCTGAAACGGTGAAGATAGGCCTTACAACAACCATGTACCGTGAGTAGCTGCGTTAAATCAAATTCGATTTGCCATGTCAACGTAGTTTGGGTACTGCACTGGATCACTTGGCAACTATAAAAATCGCTTAGAGAAAGATGAAAGAATCTAAAGCATTATTCTGCCACGCGCAGAGAGATGTTGCAACATTTTAAGCCAATTATTGTATATAGTGTGAGCATCGCAAATTGGAAATAAAAAAGTTTGGGATGATGTTTTTAGAGCTGGTTCCCCTATGGAATTACATTTCTTGCTGTTTTCCCTGTTATTTTGCTGTCCATAAGTTATAACTCGTGTTATTTCATCTGCGCCAGGTGCAACAAAAAGGGCACAAGAGGCACTTTCAAGCAAAAAATCTGTGAGGAAAGAGTGTGTGGAAGGATATTCGAATATAAAAGGACGCTTTTTTGGCGTTGAGTTCGCAAACTAACGGAAAAAGATAAACCATTTCTAGAGGTAAGAAAGACTTGTCTATAATACCCTTCAAGCTCTAAACGCGATTTTTCAAAAAAACATAGGAGAATGTTTCTGACAAAAACCCACGTAGTTGCTTAGCTTCAGGCGTGTAGGTTATATGATTTTGTTTTTTTTTTTTTTAGATTTAAAATTTGCATCAATGACACCGCGTAGAGCCTGTTTCGTCAAAACTTAATATTTTCGTTTTTAATACTTAAATATAAGCGAGTAACAATTCAATGTTTCGCGGGTTACAAATCTCAAGGGCATTAGAGTTAGAGAGTACAAGCAAGCATATCATCCGGCAGCCTTTAAATCTGTACTTTGTACATTATATACAAACTATATAGACGACAAACAAATAAAAAATATATGCTTCACAACCTTTCCGATTATCGTTATTCTATTACGTTTCCTTCCAATCAAAAAAATTGTCGAAAACTTTTGAAAGCTGTTACCGCGCTCTTCAAATTTCTAGTCATGTTTTCTGAAAGCATGTTCGGTTAGTCTATATGCGACATTGGGACGTATAATCTAAGATTTGACAGAGAAAACAATTTTTTTGCTTGAGCTGTTTCGCACTATTTGCGATAGCTTCTACATATCAGAGCTTTATTTTGTTTTTTAAAAAATCTGCCCAAACCTTTTTTGTACATCTTCGCAGCCATGCTCTTACGTGTCAAGAAGTAGTAGTTAAATAACTTTTCCCTCTATACATATGCAAATTCGAAAAATGCGCCATATTTTTAACAAACTTAAGGTAGTGTTAATCCTTGTCTGTTAAACGTAAGGCCGCTCGTGTAAATGCATGCGGCAAATAGAATAGTCGGATAGAAGAGATTCGAATACTTTATAAAAGGATTCATGTCTGAAAATCATATAAGTTGTGTTCTTCAGTTACTTTTTTACGAACAAAGTACAAAGCATGTAAGATGTCTATCAGATATTAGGAAACCGTTTTTGTAATCTACATTAGTGAAAACTTTCACTTCATAGCGATGATTTGATAAGGCATTCGCATTTCAACCTTCAAATTTACTTTCTGAACTTACTAATGATGACATCACATTTTTATTAGAGTTGGCGTCATTATTACTTTCTTCGAAATTGTACTTATCTAGTAGTTTTGTTATTGATGAAGAATTTGAGTTGCTTAGATTTTTCAAACGTCATACTATATATTGTGTGTTATATATCAATCGAGAATATTTCGCATTTACCAAAGCATATTTTAGATTGATAAGAAGTTATCAGATTATAGAAAGAGGGGTACCGAAGTTATTATAAAGTATTTGTTTTGTTGATCAGCGTGGAGTGCGCAATTGTTTCAATCATACTTCTATTCATGGCTGTTGAAATAACTATTGCTTCTCCCTGCATTTATTATTAGATACGATACGAGAAATGATCGAGTGCGGTTGCCGCTGTCCAATAGTTATTATATGTAGCAATGCGTCTTGGGCAACTCAAACACTACAGAATGCCACAAAGCTCACGCAAGTTTGTCGCATTTATCGGATGAGCTTGGAGGACATTAAACAAACTGGATCAATTAGCGAATGATCTCATAGGCGCTTGTCGATCTTCAACACGAAACGTTGAAGTAATACGCGAGAATATTGCTGAGAACTAAGAGACTTCGAATTGACACCGTGGTTAATTATTCGACATGACGAAAAGTTTCCTGCAGCGTATTCTCACGAAAGATTTTGTCTTTAGGTTCAGAAAGTTCATGTAATTCAAGAGCTAAACGTTACTAACCATGTTCAACGCTTGCGTTCGTTGAATGGACTACAAAAGTCAGACGGTGATTTTTCAAACAAACCCATCTTCGGCGAAAGTGAGCATTTTCATCTGAATGCGTTGGAGGCCATTAAGTATACTATGCTGTACATTTCATAAAGCAACAAAAAATGCCTAATTTTTAATTATAAACCTATATTTTCTATCATATCAGCTCCTGAACTATATTTTAGGATACGTGTATTTTTGACAGTTTGAAAAGCACAATCAATCTTGTCATGTCCGTTTATTTGTGTGTGTCCATCTGTTTTTATAGCCACTACGGTTATACGAGTCTGTTTTGAATATCAAATGCGATCTTAATCCACTTGGAGTGTAGTAAGTAGGAATCCGTTACGGATTGGTATTTTACAAATATCCAATGGGATATTTACTCTTGGACATCACGTTAGACGTTTGCAATAATGAATTTTCTTTAGAAAACGAGGCATACGGAAAGTCTTAATATTCTGCGCAGGGTAAGCAATACTAAGTTAATTCTAAGGACTACCGATATCGTTTTCTTTTAATTTCCAAATTTTTTTACATAAATTTATTAACTAGGGAGTTATAAGTTAATCTTCGCTAAGCTTCAGCAGTTTCGCAACTCGTGTAAAATAGACGCAAGTTATTTATGTTTCCAGAAAGCGTACACCAGTACCAGTACCAAATTTTAAATTAACCCAGCAATGTCCATTTGTCCCTAAGTCCATCCTCTTTAGCAGCTAATATCTGCCTGTAAGTTACTAAGAGATATAGAAAGTTTCTATCACACTTATCTTGCGATATGGAAAAGGTGAGAGGGAATAGTGAGAGGAGTGTTTCAGCATTAGCACATCACATATCGTACACCGTAAAGTTTCAATGTAGTAAACTTCAGAAAGGAAAAAAAAAAAGACTGCTTTAGTCGGACTATCGTGTATTTTTTGATTCACACAGTGCTACAATAAATATTAAATTCCTCAATAAAAGTTTAAAACTATTTTTTAATTTCGCTAAGTAATTAGTTTATTCATATCCTAAATTTACAATTAAAATTAATTTACAATTTTTCGGCAGTTTCCAAAATCCAATCACGTAGAGCAGGTACATCAGCGTAGACACCGGGGTAACCATCCATAGCACATCCTTGTCCCCAAGATACAACACCGACCAATTGACCTTCGGCGACGAAAGGACCGCCGGAATCTCCTTGGCAAGAATCCTTTTCTTTAGCATAACCACAGACCATCGTCTCTCTAATTTTATCGCCGTAGGTATAACTTTTAGAAGCACAGTCTTCGCGTGTCAAAAATTTAACTTCGACTTCCATCAAAACGAGAGAGAGGTCACAAAACAGGTAACATTTAGTACCCCAACCAGAAACCACGGCAGGAGTGCCCGTCTTTGGTACTTTTTTAGCCAATTTGATGTAACGTATCGCCGATGATTGCTTAACAGGTTCAGCTAACTTGATAACGGCCACGTCATACATCATATTATTGGGATTATATTTCTCATGATATTTCAAAGCCTTAACGGTAACCAGTACTCCACCTTCATTATAATACGTAGAGCCTAAACGTATTTGCAGATCAGAAGGCTTAGCACCTTGCAAACAATGGGCGGCTGTGACTACGATATCCTCGCTTATGATGCTACCACCGCAGAAATGATTTCCTTTTCCAACTTTTTGGATTGATACTTGGTATGGGTGATCTTCTATCTTAGTCTCTACACCATTAACAATGCGACCTGCATCGTGGTCTTTGTTTACCGGACCGGCAAACACAGCACTTAGAGAAACAAGTACAAGAAAATAGCGCAACATATTGAAAATAAGTTTTTGAATGATGTCCCAACTATATTAAGGTCCGTATTTATATTGATTTATTGAATGCTATAAGCGCATATTATCTATTGTGGAAAATATTATCTTGAACTGGTTTTTTCGCGAGCCATTCAGCTGATAAGCGCTTTGGTCAAAAACTTTCAATTACTTGTATTTTTATGTGATAAACAAGACCATATTAAGTGCGTACTCAATGCCTATGGTGTGATTCGCTTTTACGATTTTATTTATTTACTTGTGTAATACCTTCTCTCAAATAGAGCAAGATTTCAGAATAACATGCTATAGCGTTTGTTTACAAAAAACCTTTTTTTTTTTTGTTTTTTTTTTGTTTTATCAAAGCTATTCTAAGCACACGCGACTTTAATTAATTGGAATCTTTTTACTAATTACAACTAAAAAAAAAAAAAAATGAAAAGTAAACACGACGCTTACGTATATGATGGGGATTATCGGCGTTTTTATTTTTTAATGATAGTATATTTGATTAACGGTTTATAAAATTCTTTCAAAATATTTGACAATTTTTAGTTATCTTAAAAATATGCGATAAAGGCATTAATCAGAAATTGCTTTCAATGAAATCTAAAAAGCATTTGAATTGCATTGAACTCACGCATTAAAGCTATTTTTTTTAAGAAGAAAAAAAAAAAAGCAAACCAAAAAAAAATTAAAAAGAATTTTTTATTTTTATTTTGTTAATAGCTGGAAAATTTGGATTTGTCGTTTGTCGTATTGCTACGCTTAATTGTATTGATGATGACGTCATCCCGTTCGCTTTTGGAATGAATGTATGCGAATAGCGCAGCAAAGATTATCGCTATCTACGTTATTATAAACATAATCAAAAAACATTGAAACATACTCCGAAGATTAAAAATTGGCAGATAAGGATGACAAGGCATAAAAATGAATAATTGAGAGAAAAAGTATCTACGGCTAGACATCAGAATACTAAATCATGGATTAAAATTAGAATTAGGAATGTAGAACGAATATTCTCGAATATATCGGTATGATGTGTGCGGCGTAACCGATTAAATGCAATGGCTAAATGAGTTAACGCCAATTCTACAATGTGCATACATAGGCTACTTCTCGTTTATTAGTCACACTTTATTAGTACGCAAAGAAAGTGAGACTTAGCGACTGACTTGGGAAGTAGAAAACAACTCCATTTCTTTGAGAGATTACTTGACGTCCTAATGATATGACGCTATATCAGTTGGACATGTTCTTGTCGCGCTTGTATCGACTGGTCTGTCTTGGGCAACGCCCATGTGGCCATGTAGTAAACTTACTCATTGTACGTGATAACAAAATGATGGGAAAACTAAACGAGGTGAACTTTAAGAAGAATAAATTAAAAGCTAATCCAGCTAAATGGTCACAAAAGGCACTTCCTCTGAACTTAAAAATAGCCCAGAATTCAATCGTAAAATGTGAAAGAACTGCATCCGCTCGTATGCTGCAATCTCAGTGGCGCCAGCAAAATCTTTTCGTCTAATCTAAGAAAACTTCATTAATGGCAGTAAACGAACAGTAAAATTAGCTAAGAGTATTGCTTGGAAAGAAATGTAGGGCAAAATTTACTGTTCTTAAAATCCCTCTTCAACAATTTATCCATGACTTTCTTGTCGCATTTTTTTTCTGCTTGTTTCAGGACGAATGAAGATTTCGTGCGCTTACTTATCTTTACCTGATTTTCTCACATAAGATGGGAGCAGCAATATGCTTTATGTTTTGCGGCCAAGCTCCGCAATAGACTAATTGTAGAGTAACGAAACGCGTTGTGACTGTATAAATGGCATTGTACGTTTGGAACAACCCTCTAAGGCAGCCTTAGGTTTTCAACTGAACTTTTCACATTACGTTTTGTTACAAATCTAGACTTGTATCCACTTAGATTTTTATTGTCAGGTAGAGTAAGCTCACCATACTCACAGACTTTGCGTCCACCGCGTATTAAACTCATTTGGAATTGCCTTTCCATAAGTGTCAGTTCTGTTCAATGGATACATACTATTGGTTTGTACCTTCACCCAAACGTTTAATGCTCTCGCCCATTCCTTCTTTAAGTACTGTGGTTTTTTTCCTGCACGTATGGACTAAAAAGTTGATTAAGAATTCTAGTTTTGGAAAAATGCCCCATATCTCTTTATTACAATGTCTTATTTGGTCCTCGCATTTTTATCCTCTTGTCTTGTTGCTATGATGTTTGCAATTCTTCTTTACGAACGCTTTCCACAACTGAAGGCGTAGACGCTCAAGATTCATATTTTATTTCAACTTTTTGCCTAAGGATATTAAGAATATTCTTCAAACTTTAGCTTTTATAGACTGCTTTACAATTTCAGAGATTATTTAAACGATATTGAGGTCACTACGTTTATTTCAAGCTTCAACAGGTTCCTATTGGTCTGCACGCATAATGTATTGAAAAGCCTGTGTTTATTTCCAGAGTTTTTTTTTTTCCTTTAAGTGAAAAAAAATTGCAAAATTCTTTGACGAATAGAAAGCAGTTCCAATGAACAAACATTGACCTAAATTATTTTTGCAACAGCAAATTATTATGAAATGAATGACAAATGGGAGGAGAAAAAAATTTGAACTATGCAGCAGTTTTTACGAACAGCTGCGTTTATCTCATTTTTGCTTTTGTGCACAAGATTGCGAGTGATCGAACTAAAGGTTTGAAAACTGGATGTTCAAGGTGCCATCTAATGAGTAAAGTAAGAGAAGGCTCCACCAATTTTGAGGAATGTGACACCAATTGCAATAATTTATTTGGCAGTCTTGCAAGTGTTGATTACAGCCGTCAAAAAAGAAGTGCAAAAGGGTTGTTCTGGAATAAGGATAGGATAACTCACATTTACCTGTAGTTTTAAACAAAGCAAACTTTTATTAACTTTTTTTTATCAAAATAAGCAGAGACATTATTAGAAGAATAGAAAATAAAATCTTTTGATGTCTACCCACGTGCTTGTCTTTAAACTAAATATTTATTGAAAACTTTAATTTCTACTTAGACTTTACGAATTTCTCTATACTGAATACTTGATAAATATTAGCTCATCATATATATGTTATTTACTTTTTAGCATTTGTAATCCACACTTAAAAGTCTGTCTGGCTGAGTACTTAACAGCATAAGCCTAATCAAATCGAGTTAAGACGTTAAGCACTTGCCTACTTTAACGATGAAGCTTTTTTTTATTCTGCTTCTAAGCATTATTGCTTGGCTGTTTTCATGGCCCGAGTCTGTATACGGATTACCAAAGTCGGGAGCTAAGAAAACTGAGCCATCGACGAAAAACCTCCATGTCAATAGAACGCCACCAGGCCGTAGAATAACGAGAATTCCAAAGGATCTTAAAGAACAGGCAAAATTACAAAGAGCACGGATTGTCCAAAGTTTCTTAAAATACTTTCTTAAAGTATTTATTTAATAAAAAAAAAAATAAATAAATTAATATTTTAAAAAAAAAAAAAAAAAAAAAAAATATATAATATTTTCAAAAGAAAAAAAATTTCACTTTTTTTTAAATAGTGATCATTAACTAAAGAATCGATGTTAATAAAGAAACGCTACTCCTATGAAAATCTTTCAAAATAAGACGACTTAATTCCTTCCGGGACTTATGACATGAATTCATGAATTCATGAATAAAAGCATATTGTGATGTTGCTGGCACTGCAGTCATTCAGAACGAATCACAGCAAATTTTCTTTTTTCGGCTCTTCAATTAACGTATTTCCAATGTTCCACAACTACTAATACCCATGAAAATTGTAGCGAAAGTGCCAAGGTTATAGATAACGTAAAATTTATACAAAGCAAACAATACGTCCATTTTCTAAGGGTTTTATATAAAATAAACATAGAATGTATACATGTGCAGTACTCTGTCAGGCTTACTTCGTAATCTTTGAATGCTTTATTATTTCTGATTGTCTTTTTTTTGAATATAACGTACCTTTCGAAATCGTTGATTGTAAAAAAAAAAACATGCTCTTAATTTGCTTTGTTAGCGAACACTGGTTAGGAAGACATGGTTTATACAAATGGTAATGTAACTCATTCACAAACAAGTTGCAGCGTAATATGCAACAATTGTCTGATGAAAAAATATGCAAAAATGATGTACGCACCCAGCGGTAGAGGATGGAATAACCAATTATTTCTTTCATTCAATATTTCAATGCAAAGTTGAAATTTAATACGAATTTAAAAAATGTCCTTTCAATGCCAATTAACTCCCATCAAACAGAAGTACATATATATCTATAAATATATATAGCTGGCATTAGGTAATGGCAAATAGAGCTATTACCGACCACAATTATGTGTTTTAACTGATTTCACTGCTACAGGTATCATAATTCAAACACAATCTACACAATATAGATAATGTTCGGTAACGGTAACGACGGCTATTGAGATAGGAATGGTGCCAGAAGAGAAGGATTCTAGATCAAAAATATAAACGTTGGGCAAGTGAGAAATTTTTTCTGCACGAAAGTTCAAACAGACTTCCTTACACTTGTATTCGGATCAAGGATCTTTTCTCACTTTTCTGGTAAAACGTTTATTCCATCTTTATAGAACTTGAGGAGTTGCTGGGTAAAAATCTTAATCAATTGATTTTCAAAAACCT